AGAGAAAGGGACTTGGGTTCGGCTGAAGTGCCAGCCTGCTCCACCCAGAGAAGCACACTTTGTGAGGACCAATGGAAAGGAACCTGAACTGTTGGAACCCATTCCCTATGAATTCATGGCCTGAAGGGTGTAAAAATAAAGACCTGGACTGTACAAATGTTTCTCTTAATTGAGTAGAAGTGTTGTGTCCAAATTCAGTGGGTGATGTCTTTTCAAATTTAGTGTTTTTTCTTCCTTAAAGATGTAAGATAGTTTGTTGTTCAGTATGCTCCATTTTTTAATAAATTGACATATTATTAAAAAAAAAAAAAGATCTTCATGACCCAGATAACCACAATGGTGTGATCACTCACCTAGAGCCAGACATCCTGGAGTGCAAAGTCAAGTGGGCCTTAGGAAGCATCACTACAAACAAAGCTAGTGGAGATGGAATTCCAGCTGTGCTATTTCAAATCCTAAAAGATGATGCTGTGAAAGTGCTGCACTCAGTATGCGAGCAAATTTGGAAAACTCAGCAGTGGCCCCAGGACTGGAAAAGGTCAGTTTTCATTCCAATCCCAAAGAAAGGCAATGCCAAAGAATGTTCAAGCTACCGCACAATTGCCCTCATCTCGCACACCAGCAAAGTAATGCTCAAAATCCTCCAAGCCAGGCTTCAACAGTACATGATCTGTGAACTTCCAGATGTTCAAGCTGGTTTTAGAAAAGGCAGAGGAACCAGAGATCAAATTGCCAACATCTGTTGGATCATTGAAAAAGCACGAGTTCCAGAAAAACATCTACTTCTGCTTTATTAACTATGCCAAAGCCTTTGACTGTGTAGATCACAACAAACTGTGGAAGATTCTTAAAGGGATGAGAATACCAGACCACCTGACCTGCCTCCTGAGAAAACTGTATGCAGGTCAGGAAGCAACAGTTAGAACTGGACATGGAACAACAGACTGGTTCCACATCAGGAAAAAGGAGTATGTCAAGGCTGCATATTGTAACCCTGCTTATTTAACTTATATATAGAGTACATCATGAGAAATGCTGCACTGGATGAAGCACAGGCTGGAATCAGGATTGCTGGAAGAAATATCAATAACCTCAGATATGCAGATGACACCACTCTTATGGCAGAAAGCAAAGGAGGACTAAAGAGCCTCTTGATGAAAGTGAAAGAAGAGAGTGAAAAAGTTGGCTTAAAGCTCAGCATTCAGAAAACTAAGATCATGGCATCTGGTCCCATCACTTCATGGCAAATCGGTGGGGAAACAATGGAAGCAATGAGAGACTTTATTTCTTGGGGCTCCAAAAATTTTTTGGGGGGCTCACTGCAGATGGTGACTGCAGTCATGAAGTTAAAAGATGCTTGCTCCTTGGAAGAAAAGCTATGAAATTAAAAAGACGCTTGCTCCTTGGAAGAAAAGCTATGACCATAATTAAAAGCATATTAAAAAGCAGAGACATTACTTTGCCAACAAAGATCTGTCTAGTCAAAGTTATGGTTTTCCCAGTAGTCATGTATGGATGTGAGAGTTGGACTATATAGAAAGCTGAGCGACAAAGAATTGATGCTTTTAAACTATGGTGTTGAAGACTCTTGATACTCCCTTGGACAGCAAGGAGATCTAACCAGTCCATCCTAAAGGAAATAAATCCTGAATATTCATTGCAAGGACTGAAGCTGAAATTCCAATACTTTGGCTACCTGATGCAAAGAACTGACTCATTTGAAAAGACCCTGATGCTGGGAAACACTGAAGGCGGGAGGAGAAGGGGATGACAGAGGATGAGATGGTTGGATAGCATCACCAACTCAATGGACATGAGTTTAAGTAAGCTCCGGAAGTTGTTGATGGACAGGGAAGCCTGGCATGCTGCAGTGGATGGGATTACAAAGATTCGGACACGACTGAGTGACTGAACTGAGCTGTTACATACCTACCATTCTTTCTTACTTTCTCTCTTTATTTTCTTTTTTTTTTTTCTGAACCATTGGAAAGTAAAATTGTCAGTATTATGACAGATTTATTCCAAAATTATTCAATATGTCTGTCTTTAGGACTAGAATTTTCTCCTGCATAATCACAATACCTTTATTAAACCAAAGAAACTGAAGACCAATGTAGTATTAGCTAATAATAAAATCTATTTTCAGATTTCACAATTCATATTTGACCCCAAATATCCTTTATATTTATATTTTTTCCTCTCTCCAGTCTATCAGCCAGTCAAGAAATATATTTTGCATTTCATTGTCATACTCCTTTATTTCATTTAACTACTATTTAAATATATGACTACTAAACTAGACCTCTAGGTTAAACTCTTCCCTGAAGCTGACTTAAATGTCTACTAAACTTATTTATTTGGATATCTCACTAGCAACTCCAAAATACCTTGTCCAGAATGAACTCATTTTTTCTTCTGTCAAGCCCATTTTTTCCTCTTATATTCCCAACTTAGTGTTTGTGTATGCTTAGTCTCTCAGTCGTGTCCGACTCTTTGTGATTCCATGGACTGTAGCCCGCCAGGCTCCTCTGTCCATGGGGATTCTCCAGGCAAGAATACTGGAGTGGGTTGCTATGCCCTCCTCCAGGGGATCTTCCCAACCTAGGAATCAAACCCAGGTCTCCCACATTGCAGCATCTGAACCACCAGGAAAGCCCAACTTAGTGAATGGTATCATTCAAATGTTGCCTAAATAGGAGACCTTGGAGTCATCCTATCCTCCTCTTAAAACTGCACAAGCTACTCTGTTTGCCTGGAATTCTTGTCCTACCTTGTCTACTGGTTTATCCTTCAAGATGCAAATTAAGCTTTACTTTCTGTGACAAACCTTCCCTGATCCTTTTTTTCTCCAGAATTAAATGCATCTCCAGTAGGCTCCCTTAGTACCCTGTACATACACCCTATCCCATCAGTTACCACTTTGGATGCAAATTGTTACTTTCTACCAGTCTCTGCCTTCCTGATTAGAGTTGAGCTTCCTCATTTTGTGTTGACTTGTTTTCTGTCCTTGGTTGCATAACACAGTACTTGGGCCATCAGTGTTTAATGAATGACTATTTTTTGAATGGAAGAATATGTTTATAGATATTCTCTTTAGTAAGTGGAAATAAAGATTTTCCAAAGCACAACTCAATTTGGCATTCATTTGTTGAATTCCTACTTTGTGCACAGTTTCTTGCAAGTAGTAAGGTTTATTTTCTGCCTTGAAGGAAGGTTAGGATCTCACTGAGGAGACAAGGCTAGTACATTAGAGATTTAAACAATATTGAAACGTAATCCTAATTATCTGATCAATGATGCACATAGTAACCTCTGGGAAGGAGAAGTTAGTGAATGTTTTTGAATACTTACTGTGTCAGTTACTGTTCTTTGTGTTTGCCAATATAATTGATATTTCATTGAATCTCTACAACATTTATTTTCAAAAAAGGGAATTGAAGTTAAATATTAATAATAGTCCATGGTTATACAGCTAGCTAATAAGTAAAGATTTGAACCCAGTTCTTATCTACTCCAGAAACATGCTGTTAAGTGTTCCAAAGGCAGTTAAGAAAGTTATAAAGTGATAGTGTTAATTTAGGGAAAATATAATATTCGATTTTAAGACAATGAAATTATTGTATAGCCCCACAGTTAAAGGTTATGTAATTATTACAAATTAAGTGGTTGAGAAATATTTAGTATCTTGAGAACATGTTTCATGACATAGGGTGAAGTATTAAAAAGTAGTACATAAAAGTATGATTCCATTTTTTTCAATGTACATATATTTTTGTACAGAAATGATTAGAAGGAAGTACATAAATGGTTAGCAGAATTCTCCCAAAATTGTGATATTATGTACTATATGAGTTTCTTCTTTGTAACGTTTTGTTTCAGATTCTCTACAATGAACATGAACTTTTATAATCAAAAAAGATCATTGAAAGGACAGAAGAAAAAACAATCAAGCAGAACTTATTTAAAAGTCTTAGAATGATTAAAGTAGAAGGGCTTTTTCTTGACCTTCCTTGTCTCTGGGATAGAACTGGTCTAACCATCCCAGACAGATTAATGGTTTCTATTTTAAGATCCTCTCACTAGGATAAGCCATTTTCTCTCTGCCTTACAGGCACTTCTGTTGCCCAATAGCAAATGGAAAAGGAATGTTCACTTTATGTTATTTCAAGCACTCATGGTCATAAGAGACACTCCCATGTCTTCTGAAAATTTTTATTGTATAGGGAGATTTTTTTCTCCCTGAAATTAGGGCCAAATTTATTGTTTCTATCTAGAAGAAAAGAAATTTGATTCTCCTGCTTGGGCTTTATGTTCTACTCCATCAAAAGGCATGTAAAAGGAACCAAAAAGGAGTAGAAAAAAATGGGTTTTTACATGTCTCCATTAGTTTTCTTTTAAAAGAAATACTTTTATGCATAATCTATCTCTGTTTTTCCTCTGAGTGGTTTTAACATAATACATGTGACTGAATTTCCTCATTGGGATTTAGCACACTCTAGTGGATAGTAGCTTTTCAATTTTGGTTGTGTTTTTAAAAAAATTTTAATCATGTCAAATGACTTCATTGGACAGTTCAGTGATGTGCTAGTTCTAGATGTAAACTGTCAGTATTTATTTGAGTCAAGTAGTAATCCTAACAAGCAGGCCTAACTTTATAGGCTGCTGGGGTGTTGTATGTTTTCATATGGTTTCTTTAGTGGAAAGTAGAGACATGTTTAATGTTACACGGAAACTTGTTTCCATTGGCTTTCACCTTCTCTTGGGTAAGATATAATTGATGGGGAAGCCCAGACCTAGAGGAACACTGGTAGTCTTCCTCTACCTCACACTCCCAGGTTCTTATGATGTGTTTTATGTTTCTCTTTTAGAACTTGAGTATTTTTATATGCCACTTTTGAAAATTTTGACCATTTGTGCATAAACGTCATATCCTATCCCAATGGATTGTTTTTGGAAATGGGCTTCCACAGAAAGAGTAACTTTTTATTTTATTTTTGCAGAGTGATGGTGAGGACTTTAATTACATCATTGCGTTTTTTCTTGGAACAGCAGCCTGCCTTTACCAGGTATGTACTCTCTCATTTGTAAGAAATACCTTCCTATTATTGCTCATTTCAGGTGTCATTTCTAATTAACTTTTTGGGCACTTTAAATAAAATAATGTCTAAGTTCTTTGCCTTGTTTTTCAATTTGAGCCTCTGTTAGCTTTGTGACCCTTTTGAATGGACATAGATCCCAGTGAATTCAGTGTTTGCCCTCTTCCTGTCCTGGGGCTTTATTGGCAGCAGGTCATCAGCCTGTGGCAGTAAAGGCTATGTCTAGATATTCCGGTGACTTATTATTCAACTTGCAATCTCTGCTTTTACTCCAGGTTGAGGATTTTGTGTTTTTGAGAAGGTCTGTGAAGAGGGAACAGCAAAAGCAGGGTTTTAGGATATTTAATTTAGCAGTGAATAGTGTAGCTTGTCAGAGCAAAGAGACTACAAGCAAGGGTATTAATTTTGAGGCAGAAGGTAATGAAAGCCTAAATTATGGTAATGGCAGTGAAAGGGAAAGTCGCTCAGTTGTGTCCGACTCTTTGCAACCGCATGGACTATACAGTTCATGGAATTCTCCGGGCCAGAATACTGGAGTCGGTAGCCTACCCCTTCTCCAGGTAATGGCAGTAGGAATAGGAGAAGAAAGGACGCTGAAAAGGAAGACTCCCTGAGATTCGAAGACCGAGTAGATCTGAGACCAGGAGAGAGGAGGTTTTGTACCTGAATGATAGGGAGATACATACTCCCATTTTCAAGACAGAGGAGGCGCAGATGTGTCAGAGAAGGAAGAGTTAACCATGCTGGTTACCCAGATTCAAGTGTCTTTGCTGAGACATGTTAAAGCGAGCAAGGCCTTTTGACTTAACACCTAGAGGTGACACATTTCTCTGTCTCGCATAGAAAAATGTTAGATTCAGTACTGCAAATAAAAGGGTGCCTGAAACTCAGAAGAAATCTTAGAGAAATATATTAAGTATACGCGTTTGACTTTTATTTAAAGACATATTAGAAATTCTAGTTTCAGTGGCCCCATTTTTTTTAAATCCCCTAATTTTTCTTAGTCATTTATATTAGCTTTAGAAATTGTTTTTCTGTCAAATTTGACAGATTGAGTTATAATGAATAACATTTCGTGCAGGAGATATGAAAGCTTGTCTTCATTGATGTCACAAGTACTTTAATTTTATGACATATTCTTGTGCAGATTTTGTCATTTAATCTCTACAGTCTATCACAGAGGGTATATTATCCTCACTTTTTTGAAACAGAGAAATCTGAAGCAGTTTCAATACTATCCTGAGATCACATAGCCAGCAAGTGGTAGAGTCAGAACTGAACTGGGTCTTCAGATTTTAAATGTCATATTCATTCCACTATATCATGCTGTCTCTAAGCAAAATTCCTATATTTGCATGACTTTTATAATGCTATGAGTTTATAACTTAATAACTTATATACACTATTTCATATTCTAAAACAATGTGAGGTAAATATTGACTTTAAAATAGTTTCATGAATGATTATTCTTACAAAATATACTTTTAGCTATTTTACCTTAATGAAATAATTTTAAATACTAATAATAATGCAAAAATGTGTTGAGCTCTTCCTTTGTGGTAAGCCCTTTACATTCCTTATGCCATTTGATCCTCAAAGAAAGTCCGTCACTAATCCTATTATTATCACCATTTTTTACTGCAGCCTAGACAGTTCTTATAGTCAGTCAGTGACTTGAATCTAGGTGATCTTAGAACCAGTGCTCTTGCCAAGAATAGGCATACCTCTGTTAACTTTCTCAGAACAGATGAAAGTATTGATAGTTTTAAGAGTAGCCTCATGGTAGAGCAATGTCACCCAGGTCTTCTTTTAACTTGAGAAGTAAGCAGATACATACTTTAAAAAAGAAAATTTTAAAAAAATGTCCTTCATATTGATAGGCTTGAAACTGAATGCTTTCCAAATATGATTAGCAGAGTGATAATAATGTTGTTTTTCCCCATAGGAAAAATTAAGTGATTAGGTTTTACCATGTGATGTATCCCCAATTTCAGGATATTTTTTAATCTCCTTTAGATCAGACCTCAAAGGCCACTCACTACTACATTGTTTGTTGCCTTTTCCTTCAGGCTCTGGATACTTACAGAATCACAGGGTTCAGTCAGATAGAGATCATCTTTTTTTTTTTTTTCCCATTTATTTTTATTAGTTGGAGGCTAATTACTTTACATCAGTGCAGTGGTTTTTGTCATACATTGAAATGAATTAGCCATGGATTTACATGTATTCCCCATCCCGGTCCCCCCTCCCACCTCCCTCTCCACCTGATCCCTCTGGGTCTTCCCAGTGCACCAGGCCCGAGCACTTGTCTCATGCACCCAACCTGGGCTGGTGATCTGTTTCACCCTAGATAATATACATGTTTCGATGCTGTTCTCTTGAAACATCCCACCCTCGCCTTCTCCCAGAGTCCACAAGTCTGTTCTATACATCTGAGTCTCTTTTTCTGTTTTGCATATAGGGTTATCATTACCATCTTTCTAAATAGAGATCATCTTGATATGGAGCATTTACAATAGGAAATCTGGGAATTCCCTGGCAGTTCAGTGGTTAGAACTCCATGCTTCCACAGCAGGGGGCATGGACTCAATTCCTGATCTGGGCACTAACATGCTGCAAGCTGCATTGCATGACCAGAAACATAAAATAGGAAATCAGAGGAAGTCTGAAGAAACTAGATACTGTACTTTTCCCTCTGTGTTTTATTTTGAAAACCTTTAGACTTACAGAAAAGTTGGGAAACTGGTACACCTAGAATCACCAGTTGTTAACATTTCACAACATTTGCTTTATCTCGTTCTTTTTTGTGCATTTATGTATATGGGGTATATACTCATTGTTTATAATGTAAATTGCAGATAAAATGAAAGTGTAAAGTTGTTTTTCTTATTAGACTTTTTATTTTGAGAGACTCACCTGGAGTCATAAAGCATGCTTGTATAACATTTATCTGTTTCCCCCCAATGTAACCACCTTGGAAAGCTGTAATACAACATCACAATGCATATTGATGCCATCAAGTATATAACAGTCCTTACCATAAAGACTCCTCATGTTGCCTTTTATAGTTCCCTTCTGCCCCAACCCCAACCCCTCTTTAATCTCTGGCAACCACTACTGTAGTCTCATATAATTTTCTCATTTTGAATGTGTTATATGAATGGAACCATATAGTGTATATAACCTTTTGTTGTTGGCATTTTTTATTCAGCGTAATTCTCTGAAGGTTTATCCATGCATGTGTCAATGGTTTGTTCCTTTTTATTGCTGAATCGTATTCCATGGTATGGCTGTACCACAGTTTGTTTGATCTTTCACTCATTTAAAGGACATCTGAATTGTTTCTAGTTTTTGGCTATTATAAATAAAGGTGCTATAAACTTTCATGGGTGGGATTTTGTGTGAAAAAAGTCTTCATTTCTCTGAGCTAAGTGCCCAGGAGTACAATGACTGGGTCATGGTAATTGCATGAGTATTAAGAAACAAACTGTTTTCCGGAATAGTGTACCATTTTACATTCAGCATTGTGTGAGTGACCTAGTTTAATAGTGTACCATTTTACATTCAGCATTGTGTGAGTGATCTAGTTTCTCTGCACCCTTCTCAGCATTTGGTGTTGCCTGAATTTTTTAATTTTAGCCATTCTGATAGATGTGTAGTGATAATCTTATTGTGGTTTTAATTTTCATTTTCCTAGGGGCTAATGGTGTTGAAAATAGTTTCATGTTTGTCACCTGTGTATCATCTTGGATGAAATGTCTTTTCGTGTCTTTTGCCTATTTTCTAATGGGATTGTTTGTCTTTTACTGTTGAGTTTGAGAGTTCTTTATATATTCTAGAAATTAGTCCTTTGTCAGATATGTAGCAAATATCTTCTCCCAGTCTTAACTTGTCTTTTCATCCTCATAAGAGTCTTTTGTAGTTCAAGTATTTTAAATTTTTATGAAGTTTAATGTATCAGTTTTTCCTTTTATTTCCCCTCTACTGAATTGCTTTTGCATTGAAAAAATCTGTTTAGCATGTTTATGTGGATCTGTTTGTGGATCCTCTGTTCTGTTCTGTTGATCTATGTGTCTGTTCCTCTGCCAGTACCATACAGTTTTGATTACTTCAGCTATTAGTAAGTCTTTTAAAAAAAAAAGATTATTTTTTGGCTGTGGTGCATCTTCGTTGCTGCACATGGGTTTTCTTTCGTTATGGTGAGCACGGGCTGCTCTTCACTGTGGTGTGCGGGCTTCTCATTGTGATGGCTTCTGTTGTTGCAGAGCACAGGCTCTAGGTGTGCAGACTTCAGTAGCTGCATCACGCAGGCTCAGCAGTCATGGCACACAGGCTTAGTTGCTCTGCAGCATGTGGGGTCTTCCTGGACCAGGGATTGAACCAGCGTCCCCACATTGCAAGGTGGATTCTTAACCACTGGACCACCAAGAAAACCCTAATAAGTCTTACAATTTTTTTTAATAGTTATAGAGCTATTCACATAATTGTTTACAATGGATGGTTTGCATTTTAGGAGGAAATTGTCCATTTCACTTAAGTTATCAAATTTGTGTGTTGGATGGTTGTGGTATTCCCTTACTATCCTTTTGATATCTAAAGAATATGTAATGATATTTCTTATTTCAGTCCTCATATTGATCATTTGTATCTTCTTTCTTCTTGATCAGTCTTATTAATTTCATTGATCTTCTCGCCAAGCCTATTCTTTGCTTTATTTTTTTTTTTTCCTATTTTCTATTTTACTGATTTCTGTACCACCTCCATTGTTTCTTTCCTTGTGTTTGCTCTGGGTTTATTTGACTCTTCTTTTCCTGGTTTCTTGAGGTGAGAGCTTAGATGATTTGATTTGAGAATTTTCTCTTTTGTAATGTGTACATTTAATATTACAGATTTCCCTCTTAGCACTCCTTTAGTTCCATTCCATATTTTGATATGTTGTATTTTCATTTAATTCAGTGTATTTAAAATTT